GACTGGTGGGGCCCACAACATGCCTCCTCCCAACCCAACCCAACCAATCGTACCCAACCCAACCCAATCTAACCCATCCTATCCTATCCTATCCCATCCCAACCCAACCCAACCCAACGACGATGGTTCCAGCAGTGTAAAAGCCAAGATTTGAAAGATCATGGCTCCCACCCCAGCGTTTACTGAACGCAGGGGGGATGGATTAGGAAATTTGTATTTTTTTCCTCCCCCCAGCAGCTTAATTAGTAGGAGAAGGGTTGGGTCACGGGCGGCCACTCATTTCCACCTCTGGCTGGCATCCAAAACAGCCACTTTGGCACACGATGTAAAATGTTTTCCAGGATCCTGGGGGGACTGGTGATTTATTTTGACTTGCAACAGCTGGACTCCCCCGTGCCCTAATCAGAAAGGGCTTTTTAGAGGTTTCTCCTCCTCTTCCCCCCCACCCCTCCTTCTCAGCCGCTGCTAGTCTCCCCATTTTGAGTTTGCTGTGCAAAGGAAGAGACATTATTGGACAGGGGAAAAACAGATTCACTCTCTTTCATGCTTTTTTGGCTGTGCTATAAACCAAAGACTTGGGCAACTGCCTCTTTCCTTCCTTCTTTCCTTCCTTCCTTCCTTCCTCCTCTATTCCTTCTTTCCTCCTCTCTCCCTTCCTTCTTTCCTCTCTCCCTCCTTTATTCTTTCCTCCCTCCCTCCTATTCATTCCTTCCTTCTTTCCCCCCTCCTTCATTCCTCCTTTCTTCCCTTTTTCTTCCCTCCCTCCCTCCCTCTTCTAGTCCTTCCTTCTTTCCCCCACTCCCTTTCCCTCCTCTATTCCTTCCTTCTTCTCCCTCCCTCCCTCCCTTTCCCTCTTCTATTCCTTTTTTCCTCCCTCCCTCTTTCCTCCCTCCTTCCGTCCTCTATTCCTTCCTTCCTTCCTTTTTTCCTTCCTTTTTCTCCCTCCCTCCACTATTCCTCCTTTCTTTCCTCCTTTCCTCTCCTCTATTCCTTCCGCCTTTCCTCCCTACTTCTTTGCTTCCTTCCTAAGTCTCCACAGCTTTTTGAAGCCTGTAGGAAGTCCTCAATTTATAATCTTTAGTGACCACTCAGTGTTACGACAACAGTGAACAAAGTAATTTCCGTCTGGCGCTTGCATTGATGATCCTTGCCGTATCCCCCACAGTCACATGATCAAAATACAGGAGCTTGGCACTTGGCATGTATTTATGCCGGTTGCTTTGTTCTGGGGTCCCGTGATTGACATTTGGCACTTTCCTAGCCAGCCAAGAGAATTGGCGGGGGGGAGCCATATTCACTTAATGACCATGTGGTTAGATAGATGTCCAACTATTTACAAAGTCTGCATTACTATTACTATTAATCCTCCCATCCTTCTTTTCACCCATCCCCTCCCACTTGTCACTGTATGACTGTAACTTTGTCGCTTGTATCCTTATGATTTATACTGACTATTTCCTAGTATGATTTGATTGCTTATTGTATCCCTGTGACTATCCTTAAGTGTTGTACCTGATGATTATTGACTCTTGACAAAGGTAGCTTTTCTTTTATGCACACTGAGAGCATTTGCACAAAGACAAATTCCTTGTGTGTCCAATCACACTTGGCCAATAAAAGAATTCTATTCTATTCTATTCTATTCTATTCTATTCTATTCTATTCTATTCT